CCCTGCCGTTATCGCCCCGTCTTGCCCTTCGTGCCCTTCTGCTGCTGCCAGAAAATAAAAACCTCCCTTTATCAGCAGCGCAAAGTGCATCATGGAGGAAAAAAAAAAAAAAAAACAACCGAGAAACCCCCAAGACTTTCCCTGAGGGATCGGCTCTGCCAGCTCACGCACCAAACGCTGCCGTCTTCCCGACAGCGTGGATTTGAGGTCCCTGCCAGCCGAGACCCTGACTCCTTTTCTTAAAAGGAGTTTTCTGCTGGAAAAATCATATTTAGAGGCTTTTTTAATCTTTTTTTAATTTTGGCTGTTGCTGCCTATCGCTCCCTGTACCATATCAAGGCTTTGTTTTTATCTCCCCAGCTGCGGTTTCCTGGGGACTGACCAGCCCAAAAAGCCTCGTCCCCTCGACAGGGACAGTGGGGAGGTCAACCCCCTCAGGCAGACGGGTGCAGGATGCGGCCTCGAGCCATGGTGTTTTCTCCAGGGAATGGAGCCATCACGTGAAGCCTAAAAATACACTTTTGGGGGGTTTGCTTTCCCCGTTACCTCTTGCCTCCCGTTTCCAAGCTTTCCCCCATGATATCTCGGGCGTAGACGCAACCTTATGTAAGGAGCTGACAGCACGGGGGTGTGCGGGGGTGCGCAGGAGAGGGGCTCGCGCATCTCCCGGGGCTGAGGATTTCAGCAAACGAGGGGTTTGGAGGGGGGAGCAGCCCTGGGGTGCCGGTGCGGGGTGCCCTGTCCTTCCCGTGCGCCTGTCCTGCTTGGCCCCAAAACGAACCAGGCTCCCGCTGCTGGAGAAATCCGCTGGCGGGGGTGGTGTAGCCCAGCCTTGTGCAAATAGGATTGTTGCTGCTGTTCCCACTGTCCCCCCTACTCCACTCTGCAGGGGATGCCTGAACCCCCCATATAGCTGTGTCTTCCCCAGAATGATAGCCCCAGCCTTCCCCTCGCCCCTTGGCCAGCCTGACTCACTTTGTGGGCAATGACCTGTGCTACTGAGGCAACACCTCATGCAAAACCCCGTGGAAAGCTCGCAGGGACCCAAAAGCCTTCCCGCAGCCCCCCAGGAAGGGCTCGTGCAGTGGGGGGGCTGACAGCCAAGTGCACTCAGACCAACTCCCTGCCTTGCAGCCCCCCCACAAAGGCTCATTTCTGCAGGGCAGATGTGGGGCTGAGCCCGTGCTCCCTGGGGACAGGTGCTGGGCTCCCCAGGGGTGCTGTGGGGTGGCTCCAGGCTCCCCAGATGTGGCTGTGGGGCAGCTTAGGCTCCCCAGGGATGCTTTGGGTGAGCTCTGGGCTCCCTGGGATGCTGTGAGGAGGCTCTGGACTTCCCTGGGATCTGAGGGGCATCTTTGAGCTCCTCAGAGACGCTGCAGGGCAGCTTAGGCTCCCCAAGGAAGCTCTGTGGAGGCTCCGGGCTTCCCAGGGATGCTGTGGAGCAGCTTTGAGCTCCGCAGATGTGGCTGGGGGGGAGCGCTGGGCTCTCCAGATGTGGCAGCGGGGCGGCTCGGGGCTCCCCAGAGGCAGCTGCAGGGCAGCCCGGGTGCAGCTCCGGCTCCCGGGATGCTGTGGG